TTTTATTAAGACGCTTAACAGAATGAGTAAATCCTGATTGTGTTAATCTAATCATTTCTTCCGATTCTACTTCATGCCTTAAAAAACACATTAGTTTTTCAAGCGTTCTTTCAGAACTCTTTTCTTGTCCCTGTTCAGAACTTCGACTCCGCTCCCAGGCACGTAGAATATTCTCAGGTAGGCACGACTCCACTAAAGGTCCCAAGAAATCAGCAAACTCTTCCTTGGTGCGTCCTAAGCTTTCCAGCGCTCGTAATTTACTTTCTATACTATCATAAAGTACTCCTAAGTCCGACGCCGTTCTGCCTGTTGTAGCATTCTTTGTAACAAGCCCAAGCAAATCTCTTACATAGATCTGCACCAGAAGGTCTTCTCTACCAAATCTTTCTTTCAGCTGCTCGATAGCTTTAGGATAATTCGCGGCGGTAACAGGAAAACTGTTCAAAAGTTGAGCTGCCTTTGAACCAGGTACTGCACTTTGCACTAAGTACAAAAATTTATCTTCCAGCACAATATCCGCATCTTCATGAATTTTGGAGAATTGGCTCCAAAAGCCTAAAAATTCTCTTGCATTTCCAGAAAATTTCAGTTCAAGTTTAGGAAGTTTGAACTTCCTGTTTTTATTTTCTTTAGGATCCGAAATCGAAACTGAAGCAATATCTGTAGTAACATTCATTGAATTCAATTGCCCAATTTTATTCTGAAGTTTCACCTTTAAAGCTATAAAGGAATCTCTGTATCCTTCAGCCGTATTAAATTCGTTCTCGAAATCAGCTTCCTTGGTTTGTTCTAAAACACTGCTTTGAGTACTGTCCAAGCGTTCAAATTTGTCAATTAGTTGCCCCAACAACACTTGCAATCTCTCAGGATCCGTACAAGTAGGCAATTCTTCTTCCACAATCTTCGTAGTTAACGTAAACGAAGTACGTTCACTTTTACGTTTTGCCTTTAACAACTCCATTTTAACAAAACGCCTAAATCAAATACTTGACTCGAATCACACAAACGTCCTTAGTCAAACGGACGCCAAACTTTTATGTTGAAACGAAATAACGTTAAAATGCATAATCCGATTGTTCAGAAACTACAAAACATTTATTTTACATATTTTAAAGAAATAACGTTCTGAAACAACATGTTTCATCTACACAATCAATCGACGCTCTCACCAGAGCATTACGCCATCGAACCTGGCACACATCCAAAAGTTCAAATTGAAGAATTACAGAAGCGTTGTTGCCACACAAGAAAAGACATATAGTTACAACTTCACACAATAATAAAACAAAAACACACTTTTGAAAAATAGACAATAATAATAAAAATAGTAATAATAAAATTCTTAACAATATTTTCTCTATTATGCAACAACTACAATGACTACATATTGAAAACACACTTTTGTCTTTTAAAAATAAATCTAGTTAATTTTTATGCTTTTCTATAATTAAATACAGTATTTTGTATATTTAATATATTCATTCGAAGCATAGTTTATAAGTGCTGTATTTTGGTGTTCCGCATGTGTTGCTTTTAAATCTATTTTATATACCTTATTTTCATTAACCATTTGAAATTATATATTCTATAGCGTTATCTAATCGGGCTCTGACAGGCCAACAAGGCAATTTTAAATATCCAAAGAAATCAGCTTGCGGCTAGATTTTGAAATGTCTAGGAATGCAATCTTGAAACACGGCCCACATCCCATTTTTTGGATTTAGTAAATAAAAATATATTTCTTTGTGTCTCTAATTCAAGTTCAGATTGCAGTTTTATTGAAAAATTGAGATAAAAGCGTTTTCGATGAAATAGTCAAACTATCAGAAATAAAACAATATACAGGAAACTGCAAAAGCATAAGCTCATTTAGAAATACATATTGTTAAAAACATTAACAGCTAAATCGATGCAAATATAAAATTTAAAATGTTCATTTATATTTGGTAATATACTATTTGGGGGATTTCGCGAAATCTTAACAGTCAGTCAAATTTCGTCAGAAAAATTCCATATTTGATGATTTAGGGAGGAGGACGTACTGCTGCCACCAAATATTATCGCCATGTATTATATTTAAAGGAACTAAATAATGAAGAATCTGCATGAATGTTTCTCACATTGTGAGAAAACAACGGTACCTTGAGCCATCAAATTTTGAATAACGTAATCCTCCAACTGAACATGGGCACTTGGAAGCCCGAATTTTGAATTTCGAATTGGTTTTATTATCTATTTCTTATTTTGTGAAACTTTAACGTAATTTTAATTAACAAACTCAACGATTTCAAAGCGAGAAATGGCAACACTATTATTATATAAAATATTTAAATAATAAAGAAATATTTTTATCTCCACCGCGCTAGACTGTGTATCGGAAATTATAAAGATATGTTGTTTTTAAATATTTTGCGATATTGTTGTTGAATTGAATTTTATGTGGTTTAACTGCGAAAAATATTATATTTAATAAATACAGGTAACACACAAAACGTAAAAAAACGCCCTTTTACGAGTAATATAAAATCTGAAAAATTTCAAATTTTCTTCTTTCTTTTTTTTACGTATTTCTGATTGAGTAGATTCGTATATTTTTTTGAGAAAACTGAGAGTTCGAGTTTAGGATATTTTCCTTGTCAGCAACGTTAGAGACAGTTCTCAAAATCCACGTTTTGCAGTATTAAAAAATAAAATCTCACTTTATTTAAGCATTTTAAATTCTATTAAAAGCTTCTTCAAAATACGATTGTTCACTGCTGCATCAAAGAGTTAAACTTTAAAAAGTTGTTCTTTTGAGAAAATTCTGTATCTACTGTTCACAGCCATTGGAATTCTATTAAAGACAAATAGCTTTGAGGAAGAATCTTCACACAGAGACTAATGCAAAAGTTGCTGAACACTCATTAACAGTGAAAACAAAACTTATAAGATTTCATCCTCCATGTCCGTTATGTGCAGTATTGTTTCCAGCCCAGTGACCCATCACCTGTTTATGATACGCTCGATGCAACTTCATCTTCAACTTTAGTATCGGATTTCGAATACATTTGAAAGGCAACTGTCTCATCAAGAAAATTATTCTCTTTAATGAAAGCATTTTCTTTTTCTCATTTATTGTTGCCAAATTTTCAGTCAAAATCTTGTCTATCTTATCTTTGGACTACTGTGGTAAGATCCTAGAGCTTTCAGCATCCGTTCTACACAGTGATACTTTTCATTTTGTTTACCTGGATAATAACATGCATGTATATGTATCTTCATCCATTTTTATTATTTTTACTTTATTATGTGCTCCACCATTAGGCGCTACACAGAAAAGAAAGGATAACTCGTGAAGGACTTCCTAAGGGATAATGGATCGTATTATCCACGTTACACAAGGGAAAAACCACGAAAACACCCATACAACCACCCCGCTCACCCGCACCGAACTACCAGTGTTCAGAGTCTTTAACAACACGGCAGCTGGTGGGCTATCTTCATCATTATCCATAAAAATATTAAACTTAATTTATCTAAAAGTTACATCACTAATAATTCCTGAAAAAGAGTAACAGATAAGATATTCACAGAAACACCGTAAAGACTAACGCTTTTCAGAGCAAGTAACGTGAAAAATTAAATATAACTTCACCAGGATTCGAACCACGTGTTTCGATCTACTAGCTGAATATGTTAATTGTTTATATCTCTCTTATAATGCAAATTTTAGCACATTTCATAGCCCTTGTAGTGTAAATGATTACCACAGTAAGTAGTCCTTTTGATGTAAATAGCATAGAATTGAGTTAAATTCTGGTTAAGTGATAATTTACCAGAATTTACTTACTCTTAGTTTGAGCCCTAACACTCACGAGCAGAGAGGAATGCGATAATTCTTTACACTCATTCTCATTTAAAATGGCGTCTGGGAGAGGCACAAAATTCATTCGACCAATCCTCATAGTGACAAGATATCGTCTACATCATTTTAGTTCGAATGCTACAGAAATTATTCCATTTTTTGGAGTAGGAAACTTGAAAAATTAAGTATACACTGATGATGATTTGAACTACTCAGCTTCCTGATATTAGTTGGATGTGCTAACCATTCACACCACAGGAGCACGCAAAGGAAAAAGCGATAATTCCTTATCAAACTAATTTCTAAAATGAATTGTTTGCCGGATTTTATGTTCAATAGATAGCTAAAGACGTTTGCTGAAGGAGAGATCTATAAAGGGGATTGACTTAATAACATTTGGTTTATATAACTGTCCAAAACTTTGGTGTAAACGCTAATAATCCAGATTTCATTTTATAACCAGCATGTAAGTATAACACTTCTAGCATTTAATTGCTATATAATGACGCTAGCAAAAAAAAAAAAAAAAAAAAAAAACTATAATGTTGCGTAAACTTTCCTATATAATCTGCATAAGTCCGAAACACGGTTAGCAATGTGTAAGCAAAGGGAGACCGGATTCGGAAATGTATGTATGTATGTATACATGTATATGCTTGTACGTATATGCTTGTCGTATATATGTACTTACATATGTATGTGTGCGTATAAACACACATATATATGCCCATACATATATACACACGTGCATACATACATACATTTCTGAATCCGGCCCAGATAACAGAAGAGTACCAAAAAGTCTATAAAATATGCTTACAAAAATTTGAAATTCTAATAGCAGAAAGAAAACTGCCCTTCATTATTAGCACTTCATTTATAATTCGGAATCATAAGTAAAAGCAATCTTATCATTAATAAAAATTTCTTCCTTTCATTAAAAATTTAATTAGATAGAGAAGTTAACTAAATATGCAATGATACAGTTGTCAGAAATTCAGTTCTCCACATTACAAGTAAAAACAAATATCACTTTTCTTCAAACCCCCCCCCGCTTAAACCATCAACCTTATTTTCCACATAAGCATACGAAGCAGAATAAAAATAGGAATTTTTATAGATTTGTATTAAAAGTAAAAGAAAACGTTTTGCTTACCCATAAATCATTAACAGCAGGATAAACCGTGTCTCCCATATTGGACAGAATAACTGACAAACTTTTTCATGCATGAAGTTTGACTCACGTCTGCTTAAGCATCTCCAAACTTCATGGAATTCCATACGAGTCAGTTAACGAACTTTTACGATTGCTGTAATCATTTTTCACCGGCAGTCTTCCCTGCGAAACAGTGGGTGTTCGATGCCGAACCCACGCTGGTGTGTCTCATAACATCCTTTGAAACCACCAACTAAGCGCAAAAAATAAAACTAGCTAACGAAAAGCGTACCTTTTCCAGTCAGCGAGAGGTTAGGGCGTACGGCCTTCGTCTACGCACGGCCGTGGAGTTTGCAAAAAGATGAATTTTGTTATATCATCAATGTTTCAACGCCTAGGGATTTCGTCGACTGTTTTTGAATGTTTAAAGAGTAAACAATGGGAAGGCATTCCGCTGTGCAAGGACTTTAACGGCACAGAACGCACTGCGCTCTGGTGTTGCTATTCTTTGTCTGTAAATAAAAACGCTTCGCAACACATGCAGAATGGATGGATTTTTTCGAAAATGTGTCAGATCTATTACCTTTTGTGCCGGTATATGTTACTGTGTAATGTCGTTTTCAACTGGATTTAAACGTTTATTATAGAGCCTTTTCTTTTGCCATGAAATCTAATTCATTTACCTCAAGGGCTCGAGAATAAAGCTTGAGGCCTTTTGCTGATTTTCTTCAGTGCCCAGATGCGAAATGGAGAGGGAAACGACGCGAGGGAAAAGAATATAATGCTTGTTTACAATGGCGCAGTCCATAAATTTTGATTTTTATAACCTCATTTTTCTCTTATATGGATTTCTGTAACTTCCTAGCATACCGGTGGTTATCTATTCATGATGCAGGACTTTGTCTGAAATGCTGTAAAAGTCAATGCCACAATAGGAATCTTTTTCCAGAAATTAGACATTATTAGTTCATTAGCTTATTATTAATTAATTTATTATCGTGATAATCCCTCGTAGTATTGTGTTTTTATGTTTATTGTATTGAATTATGTTCGTATGTAAAATCGCGAATGTAGTTTTCAACAATATATTCTTTGATTCAGAAGTCAAACAACAAAAATCAGCGTTAATTCACAAAATTTTCACAGGACTGGTTTCGATGGCTTTATTCGGCGTGTTATTGTGTCTTTAATATATTCTTTGTTATTGTTTAAATTAATAAAATAGGGAATAGTCTAGCAATAAAACAGATAACCCTGTGTGGAGAACCCTCATCTAACATCCTTTTAGTTCGGGCTCCACTGTAGAGAAATTGGGTAATTTTTGGAAGCAGAAGAGATGAAAAATGAGCAACCGCCTTTCCCGGGAATCGAACCACGGACCTCTGGAATACCGGCCCAGAGTGCAGAACCACTACACCACGAAGGCACGCTAGGAAAGCGGGAGAAATACCTTATATACTCCCCCTTTTAAAGGGCAACTGGAGATTTTTTTAGGGGACCTAATCGCCAAATCCTGGGTGTGGAGAGTCATCATCTACAGCCCTTTTAGTTCGGGCGCCACTGTAGAGACATTAGGTAATTTTTGGAAACATAAGAGATCCCAAATTAGCAAACGCCTTCGCCCGAACCACGGACCTCTGAAATACCGGCTCAGTGTGCTGACCACTACACCACGAAGACACGCTAAGAAAGCTGGAGAAGTACCTTATAACAGTAGCTCACTCGGCGCGTATTCGGTAGGAGATTTTTCGAGTCCCGATGAGAGCTTTGCACATTTTTCATGTCTCTGCCATAAAAAAATACCTAATGACTCTACAGTGTAATGGCTGAAGAATTACGTCTTCTGCTTCCAAAAACCTCTAATAACTATACAAGTGGCGCCTGAACTAAAAGGTGGTGAACGATAATTCGTCACCTCCAGGATTTAGCGATTGTGTTCCCTTATGCCCGGTCGTATTTTAAAAGGGGGAGTATATAAGGTATTTTCTTACTCCTTTCCGCGTACCTTCGTGGTGTACCTGGAAGCACACTAGAGTGGTCCAGCATATTTTTCACGTCTCCAGCATTTAAAAAGAAAACTAATGACTTGAAGATTATAAGAAACAGTGTAATGGTTGAAGCAACAAATAAGAAGTATAAAAGAGCTAATCATAGCTAATACTAAATTACAATGTGAAAATTTTAGGTACTTCTTAATTTTATCATATTTGTTCCTTTTATAGACCTAACTAATTTTGCTTCAGTAATCCCCCAAAATAATTCTACAAAAATGATTAAAATAAAATTTGTCATACATAATAAACACGTTTCTCTAAATATAACTACTAAAAACTCAATATATTTATCTCTACTGCGACGATCCTTTCCCACCATGCAGTTTTGGCTATACTTTGTTTCGAACGAAGTTCTTACACAAATAAAGTCATTTATTCTTTCATTTATCGTTTCACGAATTCTTGTTTTACGACACTGCATTACTAAATCACACCCTCAAAACATACTTTCAGCACACATAATTAATAAAAAAAACTTAAGCGAAGTATGTATTTATTATCCATATTAACCTGCTCTTCCGATTATAAATCTGGGAAAACAGTAATGCGGTAATATTGAGCAATTAAAATATGACAGGCCAAAATTTATGAAATTGAAAACTGCAGCCGAAAATGGAGGGTATGAATCAGCGGAAGCCTCAGGTACTCGTAATAAGATGACACAAGACCAAGTATGAAATACATGAAAACTTTATTTAATAATGAAGTACGGATAGTAACCAAAGCTAAGTATCGGAGGGTTATCCCCAGTGACAAATTGGACCAGCACACCAAATATGTAATTTGTACAGTCACTATGGTAATATATCAGTTATTGTCTTTACTTGGTTAAAAATCTGGACCTTGGGCGCAAAAGAATTTAATGAATATCAGGCCTATTTTATGTTATGCCTGTCAGGCCTAATTATGTTACACCCAGCCTGATCAGCGGCTACCCCGATGGTATGGAGAAACTACAATTTATCCAAAATTTAAAGTGCTTCGCATTATCACTTATGTTTGCATTTTCATCTGAAATTTAATGCTGCATAGAAACTTAAAAGCTCCCTTTGATTGAATACTGGATGCATTGTTCAAAGTCCATCAGCTGTTAAGATAGCCAAAGATACGTTTTTGGTTTGTTTTGGTTTGATTGTTTATGGTAAAGCACTCGAGGGCTATCTGCCTAAGGGCAAGGATACCTTCATGGAGGACTTCTTATGAAAAATGACTCGTATACACATTAAACATGGGAAAACCCAAGAACGCCCATGCAGCCAACCCGTTCTTCGGAATTAGAATGCCGGATAGAATTACCAGTGTTCATACAGCTCTGCCACTAAAGGGTCAACAAACTTTTTTCTCCAATTCACAAATTCGCCAGTGAACTGGCATTTTTCAAGAGGGTGCAGATAATCAGAAAGCACTATTTTATTCCTTTCCACCCCCCTGGAAAGTGACTGATCGAATTTATACGGTATTTCTTTTTCAATAATATAAAAGTCTTGATCCTATCAAATACTCTTTTGAGTGATAAAGTCAAGCAAGATAAAAAATTGACAAGATATAATAAAATAAAAATTATGCTTTAAAAATAATAGGCTTAGTTTTAAATCACAATCAGATCCACTGAAAACTGATAACAATGCAGCAATCCTTATAATATTGCAGAAGTATATAATTTTATTCTCATTGTTCTTTTCTTTTGTACTGATAATTTTCTAAGTTGCATCACAGAGGCGAATACAATTGCTTCTTTCACGATTTGTGGACAATGTGATCTGTAATTTTATTCAGTTTGAAATTCCAAATGCAAAATATATAGAAAAATATCCAGTAGCATATTTTGAATAGAATGTAAAATTTAACATAATTATTTTTCGTGGGTAACTAAATCTATCCTTTTATCTACTAGTTCCCCTCCCAGGTAATAAATAAAATGAATAGTTTATTAACGAACTGGTATTAACAAAATTATATGGTGTAACGGTAGCACTCTGGGCCGGTATTCCAGAGGTCCGTGGTTGGATTCCCGGCGAAGGCGGTTGCATATTTGTCATCTTTTCTGCTTCCAATTAACCTAATGACTCTACAACTTAACGGAACTACAATTTTGGCCTAACTTAATTTGCTAGTTTGGCATCATCATTCTTACATGAGTAAAAGACGAAACACCTTCACATTTATTAATTATTGTTCATTGAACGGAGATTGGTTTGTTCCCCTTGAAAAGTCAACTAATTTCCGATCAATGACGATAATTACTTGGTTTATTTAATTTCTTTTTCAAAGTTTGAATTTTTGTTATTGATGATTTAAATTTAAGTTCCCTTAAAAAATTTTTTCATGATTTACATTCAAGTTCCCTTAAAAAACAATTTTCGGAATTAAACTTCCTACTTCTAGGTTCCCTCATTTTGATACATTCAACTAACTTTAGTAAATAAATTATTAGTATCTTTGCAGCTATTGCGCAAGTATTAGAAAAACTTTTTTTTTTTATTTCAATGAATTTTAGTTCATTCTCTCTCTCTCTCTCTCTCTCTCTATATATATATATATATACCCACTCTGTTACTCGGTAAAGTTATGTTACTCGGTATTGTTAAAAGTATATATATACTTTTTCTTTTAATGCATTTCGATTGCAACCAAAAAGGGAGGTGGACAACTGCATGTTATAACAGTCCTATGTACAAAATTTCAACGTTCCGCTTTTGAGTTATGCGAGATACATAAATGCGTACAGATGCCACGGAAAAAATCTCTTCTGAATCTATTTTAAATTAGTTTTATAATTCGGTTGAGGGAAAAGAGTCCTTTATTTTGTCCTTACGTACAGATGTCATACAAAAACATCGCTAAATTGCATTCGATAGCAGTCAAAATGGATATTTTCGTTGAAATATTGTACCCGGAATTTTTCGTGATTACACTACTTCCTTTACTTCGTACAAGGAAGTAAAAATTCATGCTGAATTAATATCATATATGAATCCTAAAAGTGAAGAACAGTGACACTCCGAGGTATTATTTCATAGCTTTGACCGAAGAAGAAACGCCTAAGTCTGGGTTTAATTTTGTATGCAAATGGAAATGATTTTTAGTTAAATAGAACCAAATGCTAAACAAACAATTTTTAAAGAAATAAAGTACTCAATGAAGAAGGTAGTTTCCATGGATATCAATCTAAAATAGCAATAGAGTAAAATTTGCTATATAAGCAGAATTATTTAGAAGCCGATGGTTCATAAAATTTAACATCTTTGTCTGACGACTCAGTGACGTTTTTATTTCGTAAAGTTTCTTCACAAGCAAGCTATTAT